CGAGCAGCACTCAGCCCTCGGTGTTCGGACAGCAGGCAGCCCATCAGCCAGCCTTTGGCTCTGGTACCCCCAGTGCTGGTGAGTGCCCACCATCCTCTTCCGGTTAAAGATTATATACTTGATTTTATTCTTCATGAAGTGCACCATAACTGTGGCCTTGTATGTGTGTTTAAATATAGGAATTGCCATCCATAATAATAATAATGGATATAGGGTTGTCGTTTATGTCGCAGTCCTAATTGTAGAGACACAGTATGCCACGGGTATCCAGCTTCACAGTAAAGCCTTCTCCACAAGAGACTTAGGTGACATGGAGGTTGCAACTCTACAACTAAATTTTGAGCTTTATTTTCTTTAGAAACCTAATGATTAAAAGGAACTGTTGAAAACCACTAGTAAGATTGTGTAAAACGGAAGAGGAGACACGTTGCAAAATTACTGTTTTTTGATTTGAGAATTGAATCAATACTTTTCTTTTATAAAATACAGTCAGAATTGTTTGAGGGTTTTTAAGCATTTATGGGTTAAGACTGTATTAAGATCTTTTTACTAATGAAGTATAAAATGCCATGGGAAAGGGGCAGAGAATGACCTTGTAACTTAAGAAAGATGTGTTCCATACTAGTAATAATTTAAAAAAAAAAAGTGCCAGAATGTCTGTTTGATATCATATCAAATACTGAAAGGGAAAAGCCTCCTTGTTTCCTATCAGAAGTTGTACAAAATAGCCTCCATTAAAAGTAGCTGATATTTTTGTACTAATCAGTAGATTAGTACAAGCAGATTAGTGCACAACACATTACTCAGTTGATCTTTCATCAGTCAGATAGCATTTCAAAGGTAAAGTCCTGTCTGGATTTTCTGTATTACTTACTAGTTTACTTTGATGATTGGAATGTTTAGGGTTTTTTCAGACAAGGTACTGCTGGCACATAAAAGGAAAGGAAGTCCCCTTTGCATGAACACAGAAAAGTTTACCTGAATATAAATTTACAATTTAAGACTTGATTAATAAACTTTAGTATGCACAGGTATAAATCTAATGGTGGCATGGAAGCTAGCAAACAATTAATTATCAGTGTGCCAGCACTTTAAAAATTCCTCAATCTGTGTGAGTGGATGGATGGGCAGAGTCCAGTAGGATGAAGTTTGATAAGTCCAAGTGCCCAGTCCTGCACTTTGGCCACAATGACCCCCTGCAGCATTATGGGCTGGGGATGGTGTGGCTGGACAGTGCCCAGGCAGAAAGGACCTGGGGGTACTGCTGGGCAGCTTCTGGACACGAGCCAGCAGTGTGCCCTGGTGACCAAGAAGGCCAATGGCATCCTGGCCTGTATCAGGAATAGTGTGGGCAGCAGGAGCAGGGGGGTCATTCTGCCCCTGTGCCCAGCACTGGTGAGGGCACACCTCGAGTGCTGTGTCCAGTTCTGGGCCCCTCACTTTGGGAAGGTCATTGAGACACTGGAGCATGTCCAGAGGGGACAACGAGGCTGGGAAATCAGTAAACTGTTTCTGTAGTAATCTGACACTTCTGCTGCACCCCCCAAATTTGTCATCTTGAGCAACCTGTAAAACCTGGGGAAGAACATGAGGATTTTGCTGAAAAGGATGAACTTAAATTTCACCTTTCTTACTTCCTTCTGCTTCCACCCCATCTTCCCAGGTTCTGTATTCCAGTTTGGAAGTAATACTACTAATTTCAGCTTTCCAAATAACCCAGGAGTATTCACTTTTGGTGCAAATCCTCCTGCATCAGCAGCTCCTGCACCACCTTCTGGCACTTCAGGATTTTCATTCAACCAGCCTCCAACTTTTACAATGGGGTAAGAGACTGTATCAGAATTTCCCTTGAGCTTTGGGTAATATCGTTGGACAGTGTTCAGCCTCTACTTAAATCATGAGGTGTTCAGATGAACCTTGGAGTTTGAAACTAAATTTGGCATCCTTCCTTTTATTAGCCTGACTGGCTAACTAAGCACCTCTATCTGTAAAGGAGCCTAGCAGTCAGGAATGTCACCCATCAACACGTGTGAGATTGTCTTGTTCTTGAAAGGTAGAACCCGTATCCAGCCATTATGCTGCTGCTTCCCTTCTGAATAAGAGAGATTTAATTGGTTTCTGGAACTCTCTTCCTCCTGTTCGTCATTTGCTGCTTGTTGCCAGCTGGTAACTAGTGAGACAAGACTATGAAACAGTTGTTCTGGAATATCTACTCAGTGCTGCTACTGAATTTTCAGCTACACTGTCCTAAACTCTGAACTGCTAATTTCTTTTAATAGGACTAACGGGAAAAATGCTTTCTCTGCCTCTGGACCTTCAGTTGCTGGTCGGAAGATAAAGACTGCAGTTAGACGTAGAAAGTAAACGCCTGATCGGTAAAGCATCAAAAACATTGGAAGCAGCTACTATCCTGAAATGTTCAGCTACTATCCTGAGATGTTCAGCTACTACCCTGAATTGTTGAGTTACTGGGATTGTACCTCACGCTGGCTTGTTGGAAGTCAGATCTGCCTAAAGGAATATAAAACTTAGCTTTCCTGTCCTTCCCTCCCCTCTCCCCGTTACGTTTTTTTGGTAGCAAGTAAAGTTGGCAACAAGGCTGTTCTCAAGCAAAAGTCTCAAGTTACTTCTTTCACTGACTCGGCATGGTCTGGCTGTAGCCCTGAGTAGAGCCTGCACAGTGAATGGCTTGTCGATACCTCTTCATCCGCACGACTACGTGCGCTCATCCGCGTTTACTGACGCCTCGAAATTGTAATTATAGCAGCGAGGGATGCTGTATAGAGTAGAGAATGTTGATAACGAATGATTTCTATGCTGAGTTTGTGCTGGTGTATGTGTGAAGTGAGTGAGTTTGGGTGTATTGTGCACTAAAATTTTCTGATAGGGGAAGATTGATTAAAGGATGATCCATGCTAAGGACTTGTTAGATCTGTAGTTCTTCATTTAATAATTATATGCTATTTCTATATTTTCATTCTTACAGCCCTTTATCACCTGTCTCGCCTTGTTATTTTATTATGAAACGTGTAAATACAATTTTGTTTCTCTATGTACTTTTTTGGCATAACAAATCTGTGAAATGGAAATTTTAATTTTGTGTGTTACAGCCATTTTTGTTTAGTATTGTCTCAGATTTTATGTAAATCCCATTATTCAAAGTTGCCTAAATCCATTTAGAAAATCTTTAAAATTGGGAATTCTTAAAGTAAGTTTATTGGCTTTTCTGATCCATTTTTGTTTGGACCAAAAACCAGTATTGTACAAAGTATTAAGTATATATTTTTATATTTACTGAAATGGACTGTGGTGACTTTGGATAATAAGGAAAAGTTTAATATTAAAGCCATGTTTATTACAGTATAATTAACATGTTAAACCATGGGATAAATGCCATCAATAAAAACTGCGAAATATTACCTGGCAATTCTAACTCTCTGTAAAGGCATCCCCAGCTGTAACTGTAGGAGGTGGTTCCCTCAACCTGAGCCATGTCTCGTGCTTTCTTCAACCTCTGCTTTTTCACATTGACTCTAGAGGATCTTAAATTTAGAAGTCTTCTGTTAGGAAGGAGAATTTTATTGTAGGCTGAAGCTTGGAGCAGCTTGTCAATGTGTCAGCTGACTGCAGCTAATTTTTTTGTGATGCTATTAAAGAAACCCAACCCAGTGTTTATAAACACTCACCACTGTTCTAACTGAAGACTGGAAATGAGTAATAGGGGGTGGGCACTTCTGTAGCAGTTACAGGAACTTCTTGGAGAACAGAAATTATTCTAGTAAAATCAGAGGAAATGCTTGTTTATCTGTGGACCCACAGCTGAATTTGTAGCAAGTCACAGCAGTCTATCTCTGCCTCAGACAGGAATTCTTCCCTCAGCTAGAAGGGCAGAGACCTGCATCACTGTCAGTGGTGTAAATGTCTTCAGAGGCGCTGCCGGGGCCTTGGCTGGCACTTCTGCCGTGCCTCCCAGCAGTGCTCCCTGCTCCTGCAGGTGCTGCTGGTACGAGGTGAGATGCCTTTCAGGCACAAGCTGGACATGACAAGAGGGCAAAGGCTAACTGCTCTTTTCAGGTGACTGCTGGGGCCTTGGCTGGCACTTCTGCCATGCATCCCAGCAGTGCTCCCTGCTCCTGCAGGTCTGCTGGTACGAGGTGAGATGCCTTTCAAGCACAAGCTGGACATGACAAGAGGGCAAAGTCACCCCTGGCAGTATTCAAAAATGATTAAGCAAGGGCTCTAACAACTTCTAACCCAGACAACTTTTTTTTCCTTTACTTCAATAATAAATATAAGTAGTTATCTAAAAAGTTAGTGACCTCATTCTGGATACGTAATCAACGGCAAAATGTCATTCTGCAACTATAAGCACGGGACCTAGTCCTGACTCATCATTCCAAATGAAAACTGAAATGCATGCACAGTACAGTCATACACCACCCCTGGCAGTATTCAAAAATGGCTCTAAGCAAGGGCTCTAACAACAGTGTTCTAACCCAGACAACTTTTTTTTCTTTTACTTCAAAAATAAATACTTAGAAGTAGTTATCTAAAAAGTTAGTGACCTCATTCTGGATACGTAATCAACGGCAAAATGTCATTCTGCAACTATAAGCACAGGATGTAGTCCTGAATCATCATTCCAAATGAAAACTGAAATGCATGCACAGTACACTCATACACACAAAGAACACAACTTGTCCAACAAAAATATTGCAGCATATGAACACATTCCTGATTAAGTTATTACACCTGGAAACAAGAGCAATAACAAGAGCTGTCAAACATTTCTACTGTCACCCAAGCCCTGGTGCAAAACTGAAGGCAGGGCGAGAACTGCAGCCACTGAGCGGCACGTTGAGTCCCTAAGAGAGGAACATACAAAAACTGTGATTGAAGAGTTCCAGACTCTGACTTAAGTTCAGTAAAACACTAACACTGCTCACATTAGTTTCCTGAGATACTAGTAACATGAGAATAAATGAATCATTGAAGCGATATAGTCATGCAAAATATTAGGTTTCTTTATTCAGTATTTAAGTTATTCTGAATATACAAACAATTAGCCAGAATGATAAAGTGAAAATAACCAGTATTTGTACTTCTGCAGATTTACACCCATAACACATTTCAGTTAATGTTTTCTGCATGCTCCTGAAACACATTCACTTCTGCTCTGCATTATATGCAAGAAATAGACAAGTGCTTTCACTCCAAACAGAAGCAAAAAAATTACCTTTCATTAGCATGGTCTGTACTGTTGCTGGCTCCGGAATTATTTACACACACCAGATCACTAACACTGCAGTGTAACATACCCTTCCCAGAGGAAAAAGCAGCTATTGTTTCACTTCTTCATTAGCTTGGACGAGTGAAGTAAGTGACAGTGCTTGAGACAATCATGCAAAAAAACTTTTCACGTCAATGTTGTGAGAAAATACTTAAAGGTGAGGAAATATGATCTGTGAAGCAATAATAAAAGACACTGATAAACACTGCTGATCTCTCTAAATACATGGCAATTTAATTAACATCATTTGCCTTGCTGTCTAATACTGCAGGTTTCTTCCCCCTTATCCTTTGACAGGCAACTGCCTGGAAAAGAACTTCATTTTCTAGTTATCAGCCAACATCCAAAACTGTAGGAGCAATGTTTCTTTTAAGGTGGCATATTCTTGCGGATCTGCTTTCCACAGCTCCTTTTTGCAATTAAAGGTTTTGTCTCATCAGTCAGAGGTTAATACTCCTGGATTTAATTTGTATTTTCTCTCCCAAACTTCTTTGGCGTCTATGAAAACTCCAATACTTTGAAGGTAGTTGCTGGCATCATACAGGAACCATACATTTTGTTTAGCTTCTGAATCAGTTCCTATTTAAATTAGGGCTAAAGATTCCAACAGACACCTCAATTTCAGTCCTGGGATAGGTCTTTATTCACTGGGGCTTGGAGGGGATGTTCAGAACCAGTCCGTAAATCTCAGTTTTTGGTATCATCTGACTCCATTCCTTCTGACCACAATAGTTCCTGCTACAATATCATAGGCGGTTCTGTTATGCTGGAAAAACAGCAGTGTAATGAACGCAGGAAAAAATGATGCAATAGAAAAATTCTTGATCAAAGCTCGTACTGTGGACCTGAAATCAGAATAGAACATTCAGTGCCTTACTTCACTTTTCTGCTGACATTAGTAAACTTCCAAGTTTAGTGCCCAAATTCTGCACAGCACAGAAGTTGAACTCTAGAGGAGATTTAACCACCAACCCCGAAAAATACTCCATGTGACCGAATAATTACCATTTTATTCTTAGATCACAGAATCCGACAATAGCTGTTGCAGTCTAATTATTGCAAAGGTCAACAACAAAGCAACAGTGAACTTCCTTCCAAATCCCACACTTTGGACACTGTAAACCTGAACACAATGAGACTGAGCCAGGAGCACTTACGTTGTCATGCTGACATTGGAAGATGGAATGACTAACACACGGCTGGGTGCAATAAGTACGGAAGTTTCACACGTCACAACTCGCAGTCCAAGCAAGAATTTTCCTGGGGTTGCTCCACCTGCTCCCCAAATACAGATTATCTGTGAAAGAAAGGTTATTTTAATTCCACACACTACAGTGTTGTTGACAGGTCTCCCAAACTTGGTTATCCTCAGGACTATGTGAATGTCATAAGCTTCACCATAATCCAAAATACCGTTAAGAGGATTTACTTTATTGGCCAACGATAACATTACTTTTTAAAACCATTTCTTCAACAACTCACAACTATTAATTACAGGGGTTAATGTTCATGAGTAGTTACCTCATAAAAGCAGACTAATAACCTGTAGATGAGAGCTACTATCATCATTTTCTGCAAATCTTCCATGGACGTATCTTCATCTATTTCTTCTATGATGTAATGCATGGCAAATTTAGAGATGTCCCTGTACAAAATAAAACTGAACTTTAAAACCATACTTATTCCAATACTAGTGTTACCCCTTTCATACCAGAATTGACTCCCTCCGTTCTGGTATTAGAGAACAAAAGCTCCTTGCCCTCTCTGATACTAAACAAGCCATTAAAATTGGAACTTTAAAACCATACTTATTCCAATAGTAGTGTTACCCCTTTCATACCAGAATTCACTCCCTCCGTTCTGGTAGAGAACAAAAGCTCCTTGACCTCTCTGATACTAAACAAGCCATTAAAATTCAGAACACTGTTTCATTCTGAGTTACTGCCTAGTTTGCTTTGTCTTTTTCATTAAGAAAAGATCATTCTTTATTACCACTTTTGCACAATGGTGTCCCTGGGTAGTGAGCTGCAGAATTGTTCTGGAAATTCTCACACTTCTTGGGAGGTAATCAGATTCTGCACATAATCATCTAACTTGATACAAATGGAAGGCATCCAAGTCTCCAAGTACCTTCTTACACAAACAAGGAAAAAGAAAAGGGCACTCTTTACGAATGCAAGGGAGAAGCTGGCAGTCTCCCTAAGAAATCAGGGGAGCCCTATATCCTCCTCTGCATGATCAGGGTTCTCATCAGGGTTTCTCATTCCTTACGGCTCACCATACCTATCCAGAGGCACCCTGGTATGCAATAGGAGAATTCAAACATAAAGCAATTGAAACCTTATGGGTTTCAGCCTAACAGAGCTACACAAAGCATCCATTTGGAGTTAATGGCGTGTTTTCATAAGATAAACTCCACAGACATAACATTTTTATCTGATACCTGGAAGGGTTATACTTGCAACACACTAAGGCAAGAATTTTTCACTCAGGCATCTAATTAAGGCTCACACAGAACTGTGCAGTCCTACTTTGAAAGAGTCCATTTCTGCTACTTGCCCTCCTTTTTATTCAGACTTGAGGACTGAAAAAAACCCAAAACAACCCAGGAATTGAAAAACCAATGTAGCACAACCTGCATTTCCCTTCAATACAGCTTTGGCCTGAAGTGTCTTTCTTGAGCTTGCCAGGGCCTGTGTTTTCCATGACAATTCAGCCTAACCCCAAGCACACCATGTTTCTCAAGCAGAAAACCCCCCAGAACATTTCTCTGAAGTTCACTGTAAGCAACTGTCTCACAAAACTATTAATACTGAAAATGCTGTAAATTACTCTTTCATCACTTTACAGCAGCAATATACATATAGTTGTTCCCCATCTTCCCAGTGCTTCACTTTGTATCATTCTCCACCTACTAAAGGCAAAATGGAAACACAAGCTGTCAGGTTACAGGTGGTGGGATCTGGCCACTAAACAGAACTGAACGTTTGGCATTTTAATTGCTGCTTATCTCAACAAAACCCAGCAATCATTTACATCTACGTATTTATTGTTTTGGATTTGACCTCTTCCACACCCCTTTCAAGCCGCAGGTGAAGCTCTGGAAGATGTTATCTGTGTATCTGTTATCACTTTACAGTCAGGCAACGTTTGGATGGTTCCTGAGCAGAAAGCCTGGGTTCCAAAATGTGTTCTAAAATTATCGACTACACCAAGATCTCATCTCTTAATCAGATTGAAATATTTGACTACACGAACACAAAGCAGAATAAGTGAGTTAAGGAGGAAGATATCTACAGTTAAAGAAGCAGTTAAAAAAGAAGTGTTTGAGGTAAATTATTACATCTGCGTAGCAAAACGTGAAACGACAGATCTTTCAGTCTAGTGTACAGTTGGCACAATGCTTATTTGCACTTTTTAAGAAACCCAATTTACATCCAGTGAAGCCTGCAGTGTGGCAGTATTCCTAGAACCAGGCTGTATTTTCAAAGTACAGACATATCTGATCTGCTTGATCAGATTTTTTTTTTTTTGTGGTGGTTAGCATTGTTTAGGTCAGAAATCTAAAACACAGCACCACAGAAGATGCTATACAGAAAATTAACTTAATCCCAGCCAGATCTAGTACATTTTGAAGCCTGTATAAAAAGTTTGTCATATGTTTTTAATTTGAAAATTCAAAAGAACTTTTTAGTAATCTTGCTATTTCCCCCCTGCATAAACGTGCAAGTCTAATCTTTCCTTAGTAGTGATTTGTGAGCCTACATTCCAGTACAAATTCTGTTTTTCCATTCGCTGACCTAAAATCAGGATGTGTTTACAATGAAGTTAGCCTAGTGGTGCTTTTCCTCAACTTCTGTCATTCATTTAACGATATCATATGCAAAAACATACCATAAATACAACCTGACACCTCAAAGAGTATGAAAAGCTTAACTTAAAGCTGTATGTAACAAAGCTTTAAATTGTTCAACTTACTTTATTCCACTGAGGTGCATAATACTTAAAATGATGGTTGCCTTTATAAAGAACAGAATAAAAAAATCCACCATCTCTGCTATGAACCTGTGTGCCAGTGAAGGGATAAGGAACTCCCGACCTGCAACAGAAATAGTTCACATTACCCAGATTTTACTGCACTAACACAAAGTTCACACTAAAGTAAAACCCACATTAACCTCCCTACAAGAACATAATCAAGAGCTCTGCTCACATGTTCTTTGAGAAAACTTCTAAAAATGTATGCATAAAAAATAATCTGAATTGTTTAAGTTGAATTAGAAGAAGCTTCTTGAAGAACTTTAACTGTTTCAGAACCAAGTCTCTCATAATTAGGATCACAGGCAAAATCACACCCTGCTTAAGCACACTGAAGAGGCATCAGTTTTTGTGTTCTTTTGTTTAGAATAATGTCATAGAGAACAGAGTTGTGCAAATCTGAGAGGTCAGATTTAAAAGAAAATCAGATCCTCAGCACCAAGGCTTCTGTGTATACCAAGTTCTCAGAGTAAAACACAGCCTATTTTATCTCCCTCAAATACAAACAGGAATGGATGAAAATATCAGTCATACTTGACATAAACACTTCTACACATTACTTTTAATAAAACACAGCATACTGCTCTACCCCCAGCCAGGAAACATAACATATTCTCCTATTTAATTTGCCACATGCAAAAATGGCCACAAAGTAAGGAGTCACAAGCTTTTACTACTCAGGTGATTTAAGCAGAGAAAACATTAAAGAGTGTCTTAGAAAGTTTCCAAGAAATAGTGTTGCAAAAGAATTTCATCTGGACCCAGCTACTCCACTGTTTTCCAAAGGGCAAACATGACTCTCACACGAAACATGCAATGACTCACATGAAAACTTCACTTAGAAATGCCCTTCCACTACCAGATGGAACCTGCGGAAACAGCAACTGGTTTTGTTACTGTTTCTGAGAATACTTATCCCTGCACAGAGTAAGGACAAAAGAGGAAAGAAAAGCACATCACTCTCTAGTCTCAAAAATCATCACCAAATTCAATTTAGAATAAGCCTCCCCAGTTCAGCTGCTAAGACTGATGCAACCAGCCATGGCCCTGTGAGCTGTGAGAGCCAAGCCAAAGCCCACAGCACTTTTACACGGGGTAAGAAGAATCAGGCAGAGATCAGGTAAGAGCCAGCTCTTATTTAACAACCTGGGTTTATACAGCTTCGTTTCATACCTGCTGCACTGGTCACTGCATCGACAGCATCAGGTAGCCTGGTTTTAGGTAGCAGGGGGCCACAAAGACAGCCCGTGTGAGAAGCTGCTGAAGCTTCCCACCATGCCCAACAAGTCAAAGGCTGATGGCTCCAAAGATGGACACGCTGCTGGCCAAAACTGGGCCACTGAGGGAGGCTGGCAATGCCGCTGTGACAACATATTTAAGAAGAAAATCAAAACAAACTAATGTGTTTTGCTTCTACTTAGAGAAGAGGAGGAGGTGAGAATATGTGAGGGAAACAACATGGAGACACCAAGGTCAGTGGAGAAGGAGGGCAGGAGGTGCTCCAGGTGCCAGAGCTGAGATACCTCTGCAGGCCATGGTGAGGACCATGGTGAAGCAGCTGTGCCCCTGCAGCCCATGGGGATCCACAGGGGATGCAGAGATCCACCCACAGCCCAGGGGGGAGGTGCCCATGCCAGAGCAGGCGGATGCCTGGAGGAGGATGTGAACCTGTGGAGAGAGGGAGTCCCTGCATCCAGGCTGGAGCAGCCTGTCCTTGGAGGACTGCATCCTGTGGAAAGAGAGGTCCACATCACAGCAGTTTTGGGAGGAGTGTCTGCCTGTGGCAGGGGTTCACGTTTGCAGTAGGTGTAGTTTGGCTGCTGCTCATGAGAGTGGACCCACCCTGGGAAGTTCACAGAGAACTGTCTCCTGTGGGACCAACCCCACAGTGTGACAGGGGAAGGACTCCTCTTCCAGAGCAGTGGAAGAAAATCTCAGTGATGAACTGACCAAAACCCCCAAGCCCTATTTCCCTGCACTGTCGGTGGGAAGGAGGGAGGGGCTGGGAGTGAAATGATGTTCTACAGGCTTATTTTACTTCTCATTATCCTCCTCTGATTCTGTTAGAAATAAATTTCACTTTGCAATGTAAGTTGAGCCTGTTTTTCCCTTGAAACAGTCCTCCTTGTCCTTATCTCACTCAAGAAGGCTTCTTTTACTTTTTCTTTTTCCTCTCCTTTGCCCAGCTGTGGCAGGGGAGGGTGAGCGAGTGACTCTCGTGGGTGCCTGGATTTGGGCCAGTGTCAAACAGTGACATGTATAATACTAAAATGGATTCCACTGCCATTGTCAATGCCTGCCCAAGTTCTCTATTAAATTCTAATTAGAGATCCTTCAACTAAGGCAGGAGGGAACACAGCCAGTCTCCTCATGCTGGCTTGAGCACACAGCAGCAGATGAAAGCTTTCATCTGCTCTGTCAAAAGCAGCATGTTTGTTGAAGTTGGTGGAAGAGACTGATTTATTCACCATTGAATAAATTAAATTACTACCTAAAGAAGAAGCTACAAGGGGCTAGGAAAATAAGTATTCAAATTATGTTTAACTCCATCATATTATGAAACCTTGGCAACCCTTAGATTCTGGAAGATTTACATTGCAGTGATTTAAGCACATCGTATCAGAAATCCACTCTTTTGCCAAGGGTTACTATTTTTTCAGCAAGGACAGCCAATTTCAACATCCACCCAGCTCAACGTCTAGGATATTACATCCACAGAGTGCTTAAGAGGAGTTTGCACCCGTCAGCCACAGGGCAGCTGGGACTTGGATGCACCTTTTGCCCTACTGTTCCCAGCGGATGAGCAGTAATCTCCTGCAGTAAAGCAGGGAGGGACCAGGCAAGGAAGTGTCTTAAATCACGGTGACTGTCCACAAAGAGCCTGTCACTGCCCAGGGTGCTGTTAAATTTTGCTGCTCTGACACACACCTGCAGGCAGCCTGAAGAGGCAGTTAACAATCCCACTTTTTGACGTTCCAGTTTGAAATCTGCAACATTAACATAAGCTGTCACTTATTTCAGCTTACGTAAGCACACGGGCTGTAAACTGCACTGGCACAGGGACAGATCCGTGACCTGCCCTGCCTCGCCTCGCTGCTGTGTGGCAATAATCTACAGCAGGGAAGAAGGAGCCATAATCACTTTAGCTGTTCCAGATATATCCATCTGCAATCTGAAGCCAAGGCATCAGCACAGCAGTCTTTGTTTACAACTGCACTGTATCGCTGCATCACATACCCAGTCTCCTCAAGAAGGCCAAATGTGTTGTAATAGTATGCAATATTCAGAATAACCATGTTCAGCAGCATTAAGTGTTATTCATGCCCTAAATAATCTTTAACATATGGAATTAGCTCCTGAAAAGAAATTTCAAGGATCACTTCAGCCTAGCCTTTGTCCAACCCTCCCTTTAATGACTGGTAATATCAGTTCATAACCAAAGTGTAACAGAATCAGGGCATAATTACAGAAAATACTATTTTGTGTCCCCATGTTTTAAAAAAAAAAAATCTACTTAAAAACGTAAGAAAGAAACAAGCCCAGAGGCTAGGCTCTCTTCCCTTGAAAATAAGGGAAAAGGATCGAAATACATCTTCCACACACACAGGGCCACTAAGCTTATAAATAATGTCACAGATCAGCAATGTCGTACTTTGTCCTGCACAGAGAAAAGAGCTCTGGCTTTTTTCCAAAATCTGTCAGCAGTGCTCTCCTCCACAATTCCCTACCATTGCTCACAGCGGTACGAACATTCAAGGAATGTGACCGAGGCACTCCTCGACTTGTGAGGAGTTGTTGCTTCTCCAGGTTTTACCTCTCATGTGATCAGAATGAGTTTGCTTCATTCCCGAGAAATATAAACAGCAGGCCTGCTGTGCACTGCCTTCCATGTTTACAGCTGCAACAGACGATTGTTTATCTCGGGTCCCACTGCCCAAGCTTGATCAACATCAGCATGTTTTCACTTCTCTGCTTCGTCGAAATTATTTTATTTGAGCACCAAGAGCTCACTAAAACAGGCAAAGTTAGCTTAGATTTCATAATCCAAATAGGCTACTTATAAAGCTAGATGCATTACAAGCCTGTGACCACAAGAATAAGTTCCACTGGAAAAAAAAATTAACTCCTTCGTATGCACGAAAACATCTTAAGTTCTGGAGCTGTATATGCAAGTCAATCCCCCAGACCTGCTTATGCATCAGGTTCTGGATTTACAACCTCAGTATTAGGCTGTCACCCTGTATCCAAACTTGTTTATGGACCGAGTTCCGGACTTAGGACCTCGGTGTGAGGGCTGTCACCCTGTGTCACAAGGCACAGCCACATGCCGGGGCCGCAGCCAACGGAAGCGCAGCGACTCCCAACGTCGCACACCCCGGCTTCCCTCTCCAGATCCCGCTTCCCGGAGCTGCGGCTCTCCCCAGCTCCTCTGTGTCCCCAGGCCCGGCCCGGCCCGCACTCACCCGCCGGCCGCCCCGAGTCCCGGGAGGCGCCGCTGCCGCTGCCGGCGCTGCCGGAGGCCGCCCTGGCGCCGGGGGCGCGGGGCCCCGTCCCGGCGGAGGCCGCGTGTGCCGACGGCGGAGCGAAGAGGTAGAAGGGGCTGTAGTAGGCAGCGGCGGCGGGCGGGGGCGGCTGCGCGGCGGCGGCGGCGAGGAAGGCGGGCGGGCAGCCCTGCCAGCCCAGGTACCCGCAGTACGAGTCCCACAGCCACTGGTGTACGCGCCGCGCGTACTCCGCCGCGCTCAGTGGCTTCGTCCCGCCGCCCTCCGGAGGGGAGCGCGGCGATGGCGAGGACGCGGCGTTGGCGTCGGCCGCCTCCTCTCCGGCGGCGCTGCCTCCCTCCGCCATCGCCGCCGCCGCCCCAGCGCCGGCCCGGCCGCGCTCCGCCACCTCCTCCATCGCGGCGGGCACTGAGCGATCACCGCGCGTGCGCCCGAGACGCGCCTCGCCTCTCCCACTTATCGCGGCGGAGTGGGGGGGAAAAGCCTGTCAGAGAGAGCACTGCGCCAGCGGAGAAACGGGCTTCCCCCCCGCCACGAGGTGGTATCGCCGCGCGAGGCGGCTGCTCCTGACGTGCGGGCGAGGCGGCCTGAGGAGCTGCTGCGGGTGCGCAGGTTGTGCGGTTTTATTTTCCTGTGTTAATGATGTGGGGTTTTTTTCTTTTCATCCTCTATCTTCCCCTTTTCATCTTTTTCCCTCACACATATCATGTTCGTCCGCTGGAAAAAGAAACAAACCAAACCCAACCAAACAAAACCACCCAAAACAAAAACAAACAAGCCCCCACAAACAAAACCAAAACCAGCGATCAAAAACCCCCCAAACAAACCCCCCCACAATCCAGAGAATCATTTAGGTTGGCGTTCGTCCTCTGGAAAAAGAAACAAACCAAACAACCAAACCCGACCAAACAAAACCACCCAAAACAAAAACAAACAAGCCCCCACAAACAAAACCAAAACCGCGATCAAAAACCCCCCAAACAAACCCCCCCACAATCCAGAGAATCATTTAGGTTGGAAAAGAGCTCTGTAGTCGAGTCCAGCCTGTGAGTGAACATCACCGTGTCAGCCAGAGCAGGGCACTGAGTGCCACCTCCAGGCTGTCCTTAAACACCTCCAGGCACGGTGACCACCACCTCCCTGGGCGCCCCTTTCCAATGTCTAACCACCCTTTCTGCGAAGAAATTCTTCCTAATGTCCAATCTGAAACTCTGGGGAGAAGAGGCCGACCCCGAGCGACAAGGTCACCCCTGAGCCTCCTCCATGCTAACACCCTCAGCTCCCTCAGCCGCTCCTCAAACGCTGAACAAGGAACCAGCAGCAAGTTTAAACACAGCTCTTCTAACTAACTTTTAGTCTTGAAGGTTTCTGTTCTGGTAAGCATCTCAACCAGACCAAGAGTTCTGTCTGACAGAGATGCTAACACAGCTCAATACTGAATTAACAAGTAATACATACTGTGGACCTGGAATGTTCCCCATGGTGAAGACAGCACAAGTCATAGCTGAACAAAACCAGAAGTTGCTCCCTCTCCCTGGTGAACTATTTTCCCATTTAACCTCAACTAATTTTTAAAAATGAAGTAATTTCATAACATCACAGAATCATAGAATGGCCTGGTTTGGAATGGACCTTAAAGATCCCTGCCCCATGGGCAGGGACAGCTTTCACTAGCCCAGGTGGCTCTAAACCCCATCCAGCCTGGCCTTGAAGGCTTCCAGGGGTGGGACATCCACAGCTTCTCTGGGCAACCTGTTCCACTGCCTCACCACCCTGACAGTGAAGAATTTTTCCCATGTATCTAACAGAAATTTCCACTCTTTCAGTCCCAGAAGTTTGTGTGGAGTGAGTCTCTAAGACAAGCTGAGATGAATTGCCTAAGTGATTATAAAATAGTGACACATACAATATAATGCAGTTATGTAAGGTGCTGGCACTCACTATGGTTTTAATTACACTGGCATGTTTTGTAACATAGACCTTGGTAAAATCAATATGGGTAAATGTTTAGGGAAACACAGCAAGTTCTAGCATGATTAGGAAGGAAGAAAGGAGTAAAGATAGACATATGTATAGAGGAAAACATGGTTTCAAACCATCTATTAATTCCTAATAGAAAAAACTATTTTGGAAAACTGACAATAAATGTAAGGTAACAAGACTTCTTTCCCTATAATATTTCATTTCTTCCTTCACGAGTTATAGCCTATTTAATTTTTTTTTACCACAAACCCTTCAGGACCAAATAGTGTCTAGACTTTTTTTTGTTTGTTTGTTTGGGTTTTTGTTGGTGTTTTTTTTGTTGTTGTTCTTGGTTTTGTTTTTTTTTTTGTTGTTGTTCTTGGTTTTTTTGTTGTTTGGTTTTTTGTTTTTTTTTTCTCTCCGTGGCCACAGGTTTTGAAAGCCAGAGCAGATCTTAAAGTACAATTACAAGATCTGAGATTTCATATAATGCTGCCAGTCACATATAAATTTTAGGCTTACCAGGAGCAGCATTACACAGACATAGCCATAGCTAGAACTCACTATGAGATCATTCTGGATATTCAAGGTGAAACAGAATCACTGACAGCAGAGAGCAGGGGACTAACAGGTAACAATGTAATCTTTCCTCATGCCCAAATTTTTCAGTTATTAGTTTTTCATTCTTCTGCTTGAACAAATTACCCCACAACTGACCCACAAATTCTGTGAGCATTCAGATCTTCTATTCTGGGACGCATATGACAGAGATGCTGTGACAACACAGCTTGCCAGTAGTGAGAAACTCTCAGCTCGGGCTTTTGATGACAGAGGGTCTTGTTTCAGTGCTGTGTCAGATTGCCACACAGGGCAGTATTTATAGTCTTCTGCAGAACCAATTCCTTGCTACATTGCTTCCTCTTGTGGGTGGGAAGCTCCTTGTACCAGCTGAGGAAAGTGAGTAGTTGAACGCCTGGGCAGTTAAATATGGTCTTCCCTAGAAATGAGATTTAGGTAAGAGGAAATGTTTTGAACTAGATCAAAAGAAGGAGGTAAGCACCTAGAAGCTGGTGTAATGACAATTAAGGTTTAAGGGGAATCTGGAATCTCACCTTAAGCTCTTTAAGTGTAGGTAATGCTGAAAAACCTGATCAGTCACTCTTGAGTGGGAAAACCTTCATGGTCAATCGGAGGTAATGAGCAGTGGTGTGCTGTAAATCTGGCTGTTGACATTGAACATGTGCTCATTTTTGATATGCCTTCCAGCATCTTGTTTTTAAGGGTTTTAAGCCACGTTTAAAACCGAGGAATCACCGAAGCTTTGAAGTCCAGTTCTTTTCTTTGCTTGGGGGATAAAAGATCACATCTCCTGCATCATGCTGAAGTATTCCAATAATAGGAGGTCTTCTAAAGAGTCCTTGGATGAGAGTTGTTGGACATTAATCAACAACAAGCTCTTGTCATTGCAAAGTGGTTAATTATTGTTGGGCCCAGCAGCTACAATTCATGCTATTTAGACATTTGCTTCTGGTATTTATGATCATGTACAGAGGGAAATTAAATGCAAATGATGGTTAAAGAGATTCTTCATCACTGAAACTATACAGAGTCACTAAAGAATGAGAACTTTCCCCCTTGTTGAGGCAAGCAGATACAGAACACGAAACTTGAGCCAAAAAACATATCTATGCATTTACATAATGAAAAATGTTATACATTTAGTGTGGAAAATGGTACAACTTTCTCCCAAATTAAATTAATTTAGCCTTTCACTCTGAAACTGATCTGTCTCATCCATCTAAGGAACTTGAAGGAGAGATTGGCTCTAAAGCCTTACACAGTTGACTGTGGCAACTTCTTTCTAATAGATGCAACTCCAAGTGGAATACAGAGAAAACAGAAGCCTGGTGGTCACAGTTGATAAAAAGGCCATGGCAAATCAGCTGGAGAAAAAAACAAAACAAAACAAAACAAAAAAACCCCACCAAATTTTTCCACTTTTATCTTAGGGTACCCAAGTTTTTTGTACGGTTGCTTGTTTATTAGTACTGTCTGGTTTAGGAGTTGTGCTTAAACAAACACCTTTATTTGCCTTTCACCTTGGCCTTGTTTGAAGGAAGAGCAACAACAAAACAGCTTTACTCAGGAACATGGCACTGGGAAGTCTTATCAGTTACCTAACCTCCTTCTCTGTCACATTCCCTTCTCTTCCCAGGGAGGAAATATGGTGGTGCCTCTGCTGAAGAAGTAGTGGGACTATGGCTTTGGAGAATAAGAGTTTGGTGGTCAGATGGGGTCCTCAGCATGCAGCAAGACCTAGGGAAGAAGGGTTAAACCTATGAAGTCACCACTGAGTTTTGGGTGGTGGAGTAGGGAATGGTCTCTGTTCTTCTACAAAAACTTCTGCCACACAAAAACTTTTTTCAGGGTTATTTCAACCATAAAGACAGAGCAGGTTCTTGTCTTCTGGTATCAGAACATTCCTTGGGGAGCATTATTTATTATTTTTATCTAATAAGAGGGGGATTTTATCATAAGCCAGGGACCTGTTTATAGGCATCTTCAGAGAGCAGTAGCTACTTCTGGACAATATTTTCACAGCAACTGGGCCCAGATCACCTCCAAGAGGGAAACTGAATCTGCTTGTATGTTCTTGGTAACTGCTGTGCTTGCTAGCATATTGTGTAGTTGACTGAACCTTACCTCCATTTGTCTGAAAACTGTCTAATTTTAGAAGGAGCCCAGCAGAACAGCACACCAGGAGAGTGCACTAAGGGTGCACACTGAACTGAGCCCCTGAAGCATTCCAAATGGCCAAATGTTTGATCTCCAGGAAAGATATGTGAGGCACAGGGTGATGAACACAGTGCAGTAACACTGAAGGAACTCCTGCAGATCCAGATACGTTGTGGATTCGGGAAAGAGTAAGAACAAAAATTACTTGTCTGCAAAATAACTATGGCACAGGGAAGCCTTAGCAAGCGCCTGATTTCCTAGCACATGGAAAAAATTTCTGGTTTTCAAACACACATTTGAAATTACTTACTCCTTTATCTTCAATTGCTCTGCTAAATGTTACTTTTAAATTCAGTCAGGTATTTTTTAAATTGAGAGACGCTTAGCAGCATTAAAAAAGAAAAAAGGAAAAGCAACCCAAAAGATCTATTTAATAATTGGTAACAAATATTCTTCCTCGCTCATCCCACTCAAACCTTTACCTTTCACCAAGATGACAATTTCAAGATCAAATATTAAGTGTTTTCACAGTGACCTTTAGAGGGCAGAATTCCCCCGCTCCATGCCAACAGCACTCGGGCCCTTTGCACAGGCTGCAGCCCGGCCGGCTGGGCTGGAGGCTCGCAAGGCCCGGCCGGGCTGTCCCCTGCCACCTGGCGGCTACGCGACGGTACTGCCGCCACGCTTCTCATCTCCCTGCGCTCTCGGCAGCCCATA